AAAATTTAATTGACTAAAGTAACCTCGATGAAACAATTAATGTCACTTACATCTTATCCTCGTATATCTCACAGCAGTTAACAACAGTCTCCCTTCTTAAGTTTCCCCTAACATTAATTTCAAATTAAATAGTATGAGTTCATTAGCCTAGGCTCTTGTTCTCCCCTAGTATCAGTTAATGTTTTTCCTCTATTTCTTTTCTTCTTGGTGATTATGAGAATAGGTCGTCGTATACTTAACGCAGTATCTTCGGTGCCAGGAAAGTGATATTAGTTGGATCGTGATAGAGACTTGATAGAGACTTAGTTGTATCTTCCTCTAATTGTTTTTTGTGATGATGCACACAATTAATTATGCACGATCAAATCAATCAAGTGTATAGTGGTGTAAAGTAATTAATAACGATAGACAAAGATTGGGCGGTTAGGTCTACGTAACCAAACCACTGAAAGCGGAAACGGCGGCCGAAGAACTCTATTAATAAGAGAGCACAAGGGAGCAGGGAAAAGAGAGAGAACATGAGTACACTCAATGTATGTCGGATCTATATAAGGGATTTACAATTTATAGGCGCAAAGCCCTAGCTGAAGCGGTGTCACGAGGGTCAAGATATTAGTTTATCGGAAAGATTAACTACAATTGAGGATGAACACTATCATGAAATAATGGCAATTTCAATGATTGTTTTGTCATGTGCGTTGACTCTTCTTGGACTGTTGAGTTTTAAATTAGACTAAAACCATGAATTAAGTCTGATCTGCATTTTGATTTGGGCGAACTAGATCTGAGCTTGTCAATAGTCATAAATGGAACACACAATAAATAGACTCGACGTTCTGGCCTCATGAAGCAACTTTTATCAAAGATAACCGATTGGATGCAACTACTTCTGAAGACACAAGCTTATTTGGCATTGTAATAATGATAGAAAGTTTACTGTCAAGAGTGCATACCACAATATTATGGATCTAAATATGCTGGAACACAGTGAATCGAGTAACCTTGGTTAGTCCACTTGGAAATTCCTTTAGAGCTAGGGAATTCCAAATAAAAGATATTTGTATGGAGTTTTGTCGTAATGCTCAGCCCACTTGGGTCAATTTATGCACTGGGAAAATTCAAGTGGAGTCTATATGATGTTGAGTATGTGGAACAACTTCAGAAACTTTGTTATAGATTTAAGAGATTGTTTGTTTGCCAAGAAAATTTGGGAGCTATCTTTGGTTCACATTGCTACAAGGATTAATGCTGATGACCCAGGTGTTCGTATGCGAGAAATATATATTTTTTAATAAAAATAACTAGTTCGTTGTATTTTTAATATTATGTTGGATGATTTGCCGAAATAAGAATAAAACTTGTATAATCGAGGGAGTAAAGAGGCGATTGAAATGTTTAGCTGTACTAGGGAGTAATATCTCATGATCTTACAAGTATTAAAAACGTAGTAATTGTATTTCATCAAATTCCTACATGCTATTTTCCTCCTTCAATGGGAGTTGTTAATCGTTCTTCTTTTGGTGTTGTCATAGGTGATATTCAAGATTTGCTATAAGAAGTTTAAAATGTTTAGATTTTCAATTGTAAGGCGAGTAAGAAATAGGGTGGCACATAAAATGGCGTAAAATGCTAAATTTGTATAGGATGTTGATGTATGACTACGTGAGGCGTAAAAATTTATAATGCCTCATCTCCTAGTTGATATTCCTCATTAGTAAAATTGTTATCTTTTTGATTAAAAAAAAACATGACACTTGCAAACTTTTAAATTTTTATTTAATACTATTATTTTTATGATTAATAACCACAAAAAACTTAATGCACATGAGACTTTCCTTCAATGTTAATAGCGAATTTGGACGGAAGGATCACATTGAGTCAAATAACATAGTCGATGAGTGAAATTAACATAAAAAATAGTTCAATGACTTAATGGATACAAATAGTATAGTTTAGGAGTTATCTATGTAGTTAATTTTAGAAAAAAAATGGAATAAACTGCACAGATAGCCTTCAAACTATAACTCTTGTGTCAATTTTGCCTCTAAACTCGCTAAATTAAGCAATTTTACCCTCTCCTCAACATCCGTTAATTTTTTCAATGAAAAGAGTGGAAATGTGTCACTCACGTGACATTGTAGGGGCATTTTGCTAAAAATTACCAACCTTTGATGCCAAAATTCCCTCCATTGCATCATGTGATAGTCACATGTTATACATCTATAGTACTTATAAATATTAACATCAGTGAAAAAATTTTGATTTCTTATTTTATCATTAATTATTATGATAAAGACAATTATATCCACTTATATATTTTCATCTAATTTTTATTTTTTATTCCTATTTGATTTTTAATTTATTTTGGACTCTTTTATAAATTCTTCTAAATTCTTTTGAACTCATTTATTAGTAGTACAGTTATATACAATTTTATATATCTATATAAAGAAGTAAAATCCTAAATATGTTAAATTATTATAAACATATAATTGCCAAATTGAATTCCACAATCAAATATATATTTTATTTAATTTTTTGGTATACAATAATATAATAATATTATAAGCGATCTAATTAATCTATTTAACAAAATAAAAAGAGATTTCTAAATAAATGGCAAATTAAATACTCAAAACTTATAGAATAAAGTAATAATTAAATTTAGTAAGAATTAAAATACAAATTAATTATTTGACACCTAATTTATTATTTAATTTAATTACACATAACTCATATTTATAAAAAAATATTATTTAAATTTATTTACGGGCAACACACGTCGTGCAATAAAATATAAGTGTCACTACATGAAAAAGGAGATTTGCTTTAGTTCTTAGCTAAAGCAAAAAAGTCTTGGTGACGAAACACAAACTTTTTGCTTCACCACCAAGACTTTTTTGCTTCGACAAAGTGGGTGTAGTAAAAGGTGTTCGATGCAAAACGTTAGCTTCAGCCTATTGTCGAAGCAGAAGGGTATTAATATCGGTACATTATCGAAGTGAAAAAAACTGAAGCAAAAGGTAGGTATTTGGTTCGGCATCTTGTGCTGAAGCTTGCAAAATGCCAAAGCAAAAAGTGACTATGTATTTCTTATTTTTGTTTGTTTTAGTGCTTTTGCTGAAGCAAATTAATGAAAAATTATGACCTTTTGCTTGGCTGTCACTATTGATGCAAAAAAAAAAAAAAAAAATCTTCTTTTGCTTCGGTTGTCACTCCCGACGCAAAAAATCCTTTATTTTTTTAGCCTGGATTGCCACTCCCGATATAAAAGCCCATTTTTTGCTTCGGCAACGTATCGAAGTAAATAATGTTAGAGTAAAAACCTTTTTTTCTTATAGTGTGTTGGCTCTGATCTGTTTTAAGATGCAAAAACATAGCATCGTGACTACAATAAGGAGAGAAAAGTGTCGGGATGGGTGGGGAGGATGAAGAAAGTCAAAAAGAATCCATGGATGTGCTTTGTGACTACAGAAAAAGGGCAGTGAGGAAGACTTCTTGGACTTATCAAAATCCTAGAAGGATGTTCTTGACCTGTCTGCATGGTGCATGGTGTGGTAGGTTGTCTTGGATTTTGACAATAAAATTCTTATATTTATTCAATTCTCACATCTGGGTGGCTGTTTTTTTTCTTCTTTTTTGTTTCAGAATTCTAGTTGCGGGTTTTTCATTTGGCAAAACCCATCAATGTGCATGCGATCGCCAAGTGATTCCGGTTTCCTAAGACTATTTAATAGTGTAGAGGCTCAAGAGAGAAGGTCCAGGACAAGAAAGAAGATTTTATGGTTGGGACTAGTTGTTTGTTGTCTTATAGTTTTGCTATTTTGGAAATGTAATGTAGAGGTTAATGAGGCAAGGAAAGATAGAAGAACTAACTGCAAGTGATGGTTGAAGTTTTGTAATGTCATTTTAATAAGGTGGTGAGTGGATAAAGATTTGTAATATAAGGTTAATGAGGTGGTCAATGGGGGACGTTTGTAATGACACATCTTATGTTTGTTTTGTACCAATCTTGTGGTTTTGCTGAAATAATTGTGGAATGAAACTGTCTTTCGATTCGAGTATACAACAAAATGAACTTCACTGCTTAAATTCATTACCATTCAATACAAGAAGAAAAGTTGGAGAACATCAAAGTGTTGTCCAAACACACATCACCCAAAAGTTGTCCAACACAGATCATGACCCAAAAGTTGTCTATCATACATAAGTCAAAAGATAGATAACCCAAACTAGTCAATTACTGATTACATTCACAACACAGTTCTACGGCTAACTCAAGTCACTGAGAAGGCGGGTTTGGATGAGTTGACTTCACTTGGCTTGCTTGTACAGTTAAACTTCGAGGAACAAATGATTTGCCTAGAATGTTTGCCTTTTAACCTTCATTTGATCAATATTGGTTTGAGTATTAAAGCAATATAATGGATTATGAAGCTAAGGACTTGCTGGTAACTTGAATCTAGCCTTATGTTGTACCCTCACACTTGCAATTGTATTCTTCCCCTTTGTGAACCTAAACTTGCACTTCATCCATGCCCCTACTTGAGATCCCTATCTTGCACTAGTTTGCTGAACTATTTGTGAGCCTACATTTGCACAAGGCTGTTGATAGGGATGTTCACCCTACCTTACGGGTAAGAATTATGGTATTTCATCTTCCTACCCGATAGTTCGTGAAAGAATTTTTTGTTAACCTACCCTATCCGATTAAGTGTATTATTCATACCCGAATTTTGTCCAAAACAATCGGGTAAGAAGTCGGGTATAAAATCGAGTGAACACAGATTTTTTGGTTACTCGTAACAGTTCATGTTAGAAATTTCTCTAAACTTGTTTTAATACAACTATTTTTTTTTTCACAAATATGATTGTATTTTATTGATGGGAAGAATTGACATTACAACTAAAGGGGAAAATTTGTTAAAATCCCATTAAACAACACCTGAAGAATTGGAACTTTTACATACAACAATTGTGAGCACAATGTTTGGAACTTTTCAAAGACATGCCCTTCCATTTGTACCCATAAAAGCCATGAAATCTGTTGTAAGAATATTCCAGAACAACTCTTGAATGAAGTCCAGATTTTCTGCAAATAAGAACAACGGCAGGAAAAAATCTTAAAAATTGCATTGCCATATTGTTATTTTTTAAAGAATAATGAAATAGGTCTGTACTAAATGCATTTTCAGTAAGTTTGAGGGGTAATAGGAGGTTTAAACTTCTGAATCGAAATAAAGCAATACACAATAAAATCTAATAATATATATTGTGGTTGAAATGCGAATGAAAAAATTGTTTTACTGTAGTAGTTGTGTTATCTATAAAAGACTTGCACTTAAAGGGGTAAAGCCAATTAGACCACCTAAGAAGATGAGTTTCCGGAATGAAAACCAAAAGCTAATGCATAGAGAATCTTCTCAAGGAAATATAACAGCGGTTTTTATATCAGTCCATTGAAAAAGATTATTTCCCACAAGCAGCAGTTACACTTACATTCAAGATCACACAATGTCTATATTCTAGCAAAAGGACCAAAACAAATGGTTATTCTTCAGAAATGTTGTATTTACAAAAAGATACTCATCCAAACATTTGATTGGTCATCAAGATTCTAATATGGTATCTATTATACCATCATTATGAGGGGAAAATTTAAAAGTTTGAAAGAACATAGTCATGAAGTTATAACAGTTATTTCCCTTTTCTTTTGGAAAACAATGCCCAAACTCACCTGCTTCGAGAGGAACTGGGGAAATCAACTCAAATACAGCACTAACATTGTCTCCCAACATAACTATCTTAATATTTTCTGGCAACTCCACTTTAGCAGTAATATCTGTAGTTCGCATGTAGAATTGAGGCCTGTAATTTGAGGGCTCCACCTTCGTCTTTTTGTGAGGGCATATATCTCCGCCTCAATCCTCTTGTATGTTTTCACAGAACCAGGCTTCGTAATCACCTGTTCAAAAATAAAACAGCAGCAGATAATGAAGTTACAACCTTCCAAGTCTTATTTCACTATTTAATACTAAAATCAGATTTCAGTTTCATCTTATTTCCTGCAGATGAGCAGAAACTCCTACGTATCCCTAACAATAAAAAAATGATTCTAACTTTAGTCTGTGAGAAGGGAATGATTGATCTAACAAAAAGAACAGACACATGGTTTTGCTTCTAACTTTCAAGCATATGGAAAGTCGCTGAAGTTCTCATATTTGGAATTTCCATAAATTGACTAAAGAATTTACAAGATTGGTTCTACTCTACACACTGCTCCTGGTTCCAACATATAGTACTGTGCAGATTCAGTTACTTAGTTTACCTGTCCTCACTGCACATCGTCCCGCTTTAAGCCAAGTAGAAGAAGACCGACATTGTCGCCCGCCTAGTAAAATATTAAAGATTGCAATCAGTTCCGAGCAGAAGAATTAGTAGCTTGAAATGTTTAACATTACTCACTTACCTGTCCAAAATCCAAGATTTTCTTGAACATCTCAACACCAGTCAATGTAGATATCAGAGTTCCCTACAGAGGATAGAGATGTCAATGTTAGAAGCAATCATTCATAATCAAGTTAGACTACAAAGAATAAAGCAGGATCTTCAAAAAATGATCACTATAAAGTAAATGCATCATATTTCATCGCTAATGACTTCGTACATTCCTTGTGGGGAAAAATCATCTGAGCGAAGAATTCATGACATTCTCATTCTCATTAAAAATTTTAAAAAATCTAAATCTCTATTTGGTTGGCTTGAAACCAACTGAATTTTTGAAAGAGAATATGATGGGATCCACTACAATCACCCATAGTTATGTACATTAGGCTGTATTTGACAATAAGAAATGGAAATGACTCCTAAAACATTGCCCAAATAAATGCGTAACCAACACAGCTAAGAACCCACATGAAATGATTCCCCTTGGAGAAAAACAACGTATCAACCCAAAGTAATCCCTAAATTGCACATTACAAGCAGGTGTATTATTAAAATGATCAACCAAGGCAAAAAGATACTCGTAATATCTATCTCCACAAAGCTTCATTTTGCTAGAAATATTATTTAGGTGTCCATTATGAATTTGTTTGTTTACATTCTTTAACATTAAAACAAAAATCAAAAGAGTTAATAACCAAAACCAAGATAAAAAATTCAACCAAGAACCGCAATTTTTAGGACAATTCAATGAAACCAGTGGAAGAATATCACCAATGCTTCTAGATTTAGATAATTAAGGAACTCCTACTTTGCAAGTGTTTGAAGAAAATAAAAGAAAAGAAGAAAATAACAAGTCCCAAATTATATTCATACCCAATACCTAGTCCGATTCCTCGAAATGGACTTTTCAATGAGGGTGCCTCTCAAAAGCATGTTGGGTACACCACTTGTTTGCTTCTAATGACTTGGCTGCACAAGCACTTGAAGAAAGTGCGTTAACATCCTCCAATTTTTCGGTCTCAAGCCCCTGTAATCCACTTAAGCTCATAGTGTTGTGCTTTAATCCATAATTTTCCATCTCAAGCAACAATGGCAGCAAAGCTTGATGCCATGTCAGAAAATCAACAACACAAAAGCTTAGGCTCAGAGAACAGGTCCAACAATATGCATCAATTAGGCTCTCAATAGCACTTTGTATATATATCTATTGAACCTCACTGACCATGCTTCATAGAGACCTTCAAGTGAAGCCATATTCTGTCATTTGAAACTTATTATAACAGGATCACAAAGAATAATTCCAATACCATGTACCCTTTCTAGACATTTCTTCTAGTAATAGTAAGGCCACCAAACCAATAAGAGATAACCCACAAGCACCTTCTAGTACTGCAGTATTCGAAATGCATGTTCCAAATTTGCAAGAGTGCATTTTCAGTGATTTTAGGACATACAAACTATGAGGAGATCCTATCTTCCCTCCTTAAAAATCCACCCCATAGAGAAAAAAGTTATAGGATAGCCATTTCACAGCTAATAAATAAATAGATTAAACTACATCAGTTCTATATGTTCAACTCCAACTACTCTGATCCCTCTTTATCAATTTATTTATGCTTCACAATGCCTAGAACAGTTTATATAGAAGGAAATACTCTTACCTTTGATCAAGAATAGCAAGTAATTATTTTCCTTTGATAGCATAGCGACATAATACAACCCTATTTTGCTTTAATCTTAAAAGGCAGATCAAGGAACTCATACAACGTGGCCATTTGAGGCAGTACGTTGTTGGCAGAGGACAAGCCCCGCCACTTGGTCAAGACCAGGATGACAGAGAACACCAGCAACACCTCGGAGAAATTCAAACGATCTTCTGAGGGCCAGGAGGAGTAGTTGACTCAAACTCCGCTAAGAAAGCCTCGACTCACCTATGGATGCCAAACCCCATAATATTTTATCTATCCTTTATTGTTTCAGTTATTTATTTTGTTATTTATTATTTTATGAAATAAAATTCTGCGAAGATCATTATGTCTAGAATTGTCTTGTTCTCCTAAAAATTGACAAACAGCTTACAGAACATGACCTAAAAATAAGGTGTAGACAAAAGGACAACAGTCGTCAGTCGTCATACTCCCGATGATCAGTCATTACTCCTTGAACCACAACCACTATAATCAAGGCTCTCCCCATCACCAACTACTGGTGGTGCCTCATAGGGGACAAAGTCAGAGAAATCAACAGTAGCCCTTTCATTAGGCGCCCAATAGCAGGCTCCTAGAAGCAAGCACCTAGGCAGGTGCTGCCCAGGCCAACACCCAGGTTGGCATCACCCGGGCCAGCGCCCTAGCTATCACCCACGATGACTCGCTCACCTTCTGCACGTCATCTAAGAAGGACCACTCCGCTCCTGGCACCAGTGTCCCTTGGAGCCCAACCTCAGGAGCCCAGACAAGGGGTCTCGCCCTCTCCACATTGGGTGCCCCTTAATGCCGCCTAGGTGAGGGATCTCACCCTCTCCACCCTTGGGCGCCCCTTGATGTTGCCTAGACAAGGGTCTCGCCCTCTCCACCTTAGGCGCATCCTTTGATGCCGCCTAAACGATGGGTCTCGCCCCCTTTCACCAGACGTCCAACCTCAGGCGCCCAGTGCCCCTCGGCGTTCGTGCCTAGCGCTCCTCGGCGTTCGTGCCTAGAGCCCCTCGACTTCCATGCCCAACACTAGGCGCCCAGCGATGCCCAACTCCTCAACAACATCTCTCATCTTCTCCATCTCTATAGAGTGAGCCTCTGACCTAGCTCTCTCAAGTACTACTCGAAGATCAGCCTCAAAGTATCTCCTCCATCTGTATAGAGTGAGCCTCTGCCATAGTAGCTCTCTCAAGTGTTATTTGAAGGTCAGCCTCAAAGTTGGGCAGCCCTCTCATGTGCTAGCCTCAACTTCTCAGCAGCATCCTCTCGTGCCTGTCGCTCGAGCCTTCACAGTTTCACGGCATCCTCTCGTGCCTGCCATGCACGCGGCATCCTCTTGTGCCTGCCGCTCAAGCACCAACTGTTCTTCAGCAATCTATATCTCCAGTTTCGCACTCTCTCGCGAGTCGCAAAGAAACTCGGCCTTATCTAGCCTTTACTACGGCGGCCATTTCTCGAGTTATACGTAGCTCATGACTCTGTTCTTGTGCAAGTAGTCACCTTGTAAGCCTCTGCTACGACAACCATCTCCCGAGTTATACGTACCTCGGCCTCATCTCATGCGGCTTTCTCACAGGACGACTACAGCTCCGACTTTGCTCTCATGCAAACAGTCTGTCTCTCTCCAGGTAATCATGTTAAGATATTTAAATGTTAGAATAACATTATTTTTGTCAGGCACAGTTTTGAAGCCACAATCGCTGTAGAAACTGCAATAGAGTCTCAACTCATGTAGCGGTACAAGGGCTAGTTCTGGTATATACAGAAGTTCCAATCTAGGAAGGAGTGGGGGCACCACTTGATCTTACTCCCGTAAAGCAACCTAGCCATCGGACCTTGATCGAGAAGCACTGTGGGCATCAAGCCTTGCCCTCTTGAGATGAGGAAAGGACATCACCTTAAAAGCAGAGAGAGATCCCAAAACAACAAGGCACTTATAGTTAGAGACAAGGTCAGTTAGTGACCAACTACCAGAGAGGCGCCGCCCATAGCAAGACTCAAGGCATCCCCCAAACACAGCAGTGCCCAAGACCTCCTACCATCACCCAAGGCGTCTGACCAGCCTCCTAGCGTCGCTCAAGGCACCCTACCAACATCTTAGCGTCACCCAAGGAGCCTGTCCAACCTCGAGCGTCTCTCAATACACTGCGCAGCCTCTTGGCATCGCCCAAGGCACCTTACCAACCTCTTGGCATCGCCCAAGGCGCCTGCCTAGTCTCCTCCTGTACCTCCATTCTCTCTTCTCGCCTGGCTTGCTGAAGGTGCAGCCCATTAGGGCCTCGCCCACAAGGATGCCACTCTCTTTTCTTTGCACCGAAGTTCTACCGTCTTCAATCAAGAACCCAACACCATGGTCTCCTCCTTGCTCCACTGACCAAGTCCCTGGTGCCATCGACGAAGAAAAAAAAAAGAAGGCAAAGGGAGCATCGCCCAAGAAGAAAAGAAAAAAAAATAGAAGGAGTCAGCGCCCAAGAGGGCCATGCCCAACCAGCCCAAGAAGAAGCAAAAAAAACAAAAGGGGGGGGGGGAAGAGTGCAAGAGGCGGTGCCCAGGCCAAACCAAGAAAAAAAAAAAAAAAAAAGCAAGGGGCGGGGCCCAGGCCAAGAAAGAAAGAAGAAAGAAAGAAAAAAAAGGGGAAGAAGGGCACGCCAAAGCAGCCAAGGAGGAAGCCAACAAAAAAAAAAGAAGGAGGAGGAGGCGCCAAACCAAAGGAAGGAGAACAAAAAAAAAAGGGGCAGTGCCCAAGTAGCCAAGGAGGAAGCCAACAAAAAAAAAAAAAAAAAAAGGAGGAGGAGGCGCTAGACCAAAGGAAGGAGAACGAAAAAAAAAATAAAAAAATAAAAAAATAAAAAATAAAGGGAGAAGAAGCAATGGGCGGCGCCCAAGCAGACCAAAGGAAGGAGAAAGAATAAAAAAAGAAAGAGAAAGGAAGGGAGTCCACGCCCAAGCAACTAAAGAGAAAAGGAAAATAAAGAAAAAAAAAGGAAGAAAAGTCAACAAAAGTGGGTGGCGCCCAATCAGCCCAAAAAAGAAAGGAAAAGAAAAAAAAAATTATTCAATACCGATCAATACAGCAGAGTCTTGAAGACGACGAAGATTTCGACTCAATTCGATGAATACGAAGCACATGCCTGCGACCCCTTCCTCTCGAAAAAGTTAGAGGCTCGGGGTATGGGGGACAAATGATGAGTTCGAATTTTACTGAGCTAAGCCCAATAAAAATAAGCTGAGAAAGCCCAAAGAAAAGTCCAAGAACAGATAAATCGATCAAAGAATCAAGTGGAAGTCCAAAACAGAGACCAAACCCATCCTCAAAGGGGGCGCCGTCCAAGGGACTCAATGGGCGCCGCCCAGGGTGCCCAAGGGGCGCCGCCCATGTGGCCTCAAGTGGGTGCTGTCCATGCCTTGCTCATCCTCCCCTCCTTACTTCACTTCAATGCAAGTCCAAGATCACTCCGGGTCCAAGCCCAAAGTCAAGTACGAGCTCAGTCCAGTTCAAGACTCTCCTCCGAAGAAATAGGAGCACGAGGGAGAAAATACCGGGATAGGCACGGAGATCTCCTATCACAGATGTACTTACTAAAACAGTAAAAGTCTTCCTCCTTACGTCACCGCCTCATCACACCTATATAATGTAAGTCCTCTCCATATAGAGGGCATGCTCTCATAACCTGAAATCCCTACACACACTACATCTTCCTACATACATTACTCTTTCTCTCTCCAAAGCACTGTAATACATTGGAGTTACTCTCCCGGTGACATTGTTCATTAATAAAACACCTCAGGCCACCGTCGCCGTTCTTAGGAGTAGAGTAGGTCACCCGGATCGAACCACTATAAATCTCTATATTTTCTCCTTATTTACTATTTTAATCATTAATTGTCATTGATTGTCTGTTATTGCACACTT